AAAAAAAAAAAAATAAAATAAAATAAAATAAAATAAAAAAATGACGAAGTAGAAAGAAAAAAAAGTTGGAATCGAAAATGTCTTCTTAGTGTGTTGAATATAATCATCTTCAGTGTCATTAATTTTCAACCTTTACAAAAATTCTTACGACCAATAGAGAATTTGCCGGATTTTAGATGCCTTAAGAAAAAGGTAGATTTGCTGAAAAATAAAATCGAGTGTTTTGTATGTGTTGCACATCCTTTTGAAAACCATCTAAAAGTTCTAAAATATGTAAGCATACGAGGTTAGACGGGCAAAAATTTCAAAGTAAGAGAAATGTTTATACTAAGAAATGAGATGAATAGAAAAGGAGTGGGTAAAAAAGCTGAGTTAGAAGCTGATGGGTAAAGTTCAGTGGTTCCTCAGATTTAAAAATATTTTTAGATTTTGGTAAAATAATAGGAGGACATCTTTTTTTAAATTTACTTTCACTGCTGATTCAACTAACCAACACTGTTTTCTTGTACTATATGCATACTTTGCAAAACTCAAAAGTTATATTGCTCTAGTCCTAAAGTACTGTTTCGATGCCCGCTTTTTCGACAAAAACTGTTCCCAGTCGTTACAGTTTTACTCAAACTTGGCTACAGTCTTATACAAAACGGCGAACGATAGAACGATAAGAGGAAAATAATGATGACTGAAATAATTGTGCTTATTTACAGCTTCAAAGTACTATAGTTAGAAAAGTCTGGTGTCTATAAAAAAAGCTCAGCTGCAAAACTATTATGTGTTATCCTAGATAAAACATCTCAAATGCTGTCTCAAATTTAAGCTTCTCAATAACAAATTAAGCCAACAGAGTTCCGTAATTTTATGTACATTTGAAATTGATTTAATTTTAATTCTTCTGATTATACTGTACAAAGATATAAATACTACCAATTATTCCAAGCACACTGCATGCAATTTGTAATTTTTTTTTACTTCTTTCATTTTGCTGCTATATTCAAACTTACTTCATGCGTCAATACAGCAGAACTGATAAAACGATTCTCGGCTCTGTGCGCGTAAAAAAAGAATATCACTATCCCGGCAGCCGACAGCGCTACTATAACAAGTGTTCAGTAGAAATTGTTTGAAGGCGTCAGTTTAACAGATAATTAGTGTAAAAAATTTACAAAATTTCATCATTTTTCAATGAGTTTTTTGAAAAAAATGCTACTAAGTATCAAATGTTCTCGACAACAGTCAAAAATTTACGGGTTAAAAGCGATGACGCTGTAAGCGTAAAGGTGACTGAACGATGAAGACAGGCACAGCAGATCAAAAATGATGATGTTATAGCTGACAGTAAAGCTGTTCCGAGAAAAGCCAATGTCGCTATCTGCCATCCTAAAAGTTTGTTTTATAATTCACCATCAGAAAACAACCTAATAGCTATAAAAAAATCCAAAGAAAAAAAAAAACTACGCTTCTTATTTGACTAAACAATTTTTGAAAATTGTGCAACTAATTGTTCACCGTAAAAATGATGCCTATGCGTTTCACCGTCAACGCTTGGTTCATAAGGATCAACCCTGTTACCGACTGCCTCATAGTCCCATTTGTAAAGACACTGTGATGGACCAGTTAATATAGTTTCGTGACTGTAAAAATTTTTATAAGCTCTGTTTGTATAGGTAAGTCAACAGACATTTTGAACTGAATGTGAAAAAGCTTAAGTCTACATTAGAATAAACAAAAAAAGTGAGTAATGCTTTAGTTCCTAAGTATTTAACGTATTCAAAAGAACAGTTGACAGTAACACCTATTCATTTTCCGAGTGTCTACTAAAAAAAATTGTTCAAGTCAAAAAAAAAAGTAGAGATAGCTGATATTTACGTTCCAAGAGCGTCAATTTCTTTTCTGACATTTCTATTACAGTCTTGCCATAAGCCATGCTCATGCATTGCGTGCTCTCTGCCATGATCATGCATATATTCAGCAAAATAAACAACCTAAAAAGTCCACTTTTATTGACTGATATATAAGGAAAATAAAATTTAGCAAATCCTCAGCAGAAGCTGTATGAAAGTTGTGGACCGTTTAGTGATGCCAAAAAATTTTAAAACTTTCCAATTTCAACACCAATAATTGTTTGTTTTTTAAAGTGACCTGTATGAGTAATTTTTTTTGTGACCATACGAGTCATGAGATTTTACTTAAAACAATCTTTCTAAACCATTCTGCCCACAAAGTTTCTTATCTGTAGTCACTTAATCTAACACTTTGATTCTTTAGAAAAAAAATTGTTTATTTTTATTTACTAAAAAAAATTATTTACCTGCCATGAAGGTAGATATATAGCAGTTAGACTTAACGATAAACCAGTTAGCGTCAAAAAAATCAAAATTCCTAAACATGTTTTTCGAATAGTTCGAAGCTTTGATCGTTTCTTCGTTGATGAACTGCCGAGAAACGGTGATGTAACAAGTAACGAATCGTCGTTATCTAAAGTCCTGAAAAAAGTAACCGATTTATTAATCCAGAAACAACAAAAATATTAGAAATTTATATATATGCAGATATTTAGAATAGTTTTTTTTAAAGCTATTCAATTATGATATGTAAAATTTTATGGTCCACAAACTGAAAGTACTTTAATGATTTGGTCAATAAAACTAAAGAAGCTTACAATTAGAGCTAAATTAACCGGTCATAAATAGTGTATAAATTCTAACGTTATTACATATCTTAACATAAATTAATAAATACAAAAAATATAAATAAGTAAAGTTTTTTTCTGTAGAACAAACTACAGGCATTTTTCAATGATCAATTTAATTCTAAATATACCTATAGTACAAATTTTTTTCCCCCCTGTTACGTCAAATACCTAACATATACATCTTATCTTCACACTTCAATTAACAAATTGTTCTTTTTTTGTCAACTATCCATAGGATTTGAGCAGTATTGGCTGAGATATTGCTGCTGAATGAACTATAAACAAGGACAAAAAAAATACGAAAAGTCAAGATTATTAGATAATAAAAATACGTAATATCGAAAGAAAAATTAAATAGGAAACAGTATTACTTCTTTTTTTCAAATTTTTTTGTGGTAGACAATAAGATAGACTACAAAAAAAAAACTATTTATTTGATAGTAATCATTCTATAAAAGGTTTTTTTTTTGTTCAATTTATTTAACAATTCATAAGTGCAAAATCCTTTTTCCAGCAGCAATACGTTCATAGAATCAATTTTACTACAGATAACTAATCGAATTGACTAAATGAGTAAAAAAAAAAATTAAAAAGAAATGTAACTGTATTACCGCAATGACATTTGTTGATTTTACTCACCAAACTTTTATAATAATGGTATAGCTTA